AGGCAACAAGAAAGGGAATCTATCAGCAGAAATTTCGGTTCAATGGCTCAGTATATTTTTGTATGTCAGATGCAATGAACCAAGTTCTCTATTTGCTGGACTTCTACGTGAAATCAGAGAAAAGAACAGGGGACCTGCTTACTTGTACATAATTTGGGCTATGTAGAGCAGATTTACAACAGGTACCAACAGGGAACTTAGCATCCTGTACCTAAAGCTGAATTCAGGTTCTATGCTAGTGGTAAACACCTAAAAGCCAGAGCTGCAGTTCCTGGTCTTTCAGCACTGTCTTCTATTCAAACTAATCTAAGCAGAAGAAGAACCTGTCTCTTACCTGGCTTTAATTCTGAAGAATAAGATTCAGTTATTTACAATATTTTGTAATGTACACTATATAAAATACTTTAACTCATAGCACTTAAAAATTTTCATGCAGTCTCTGAATGGTATTCTGAGGTCAACTACCTATTACAGGAAATAGTATTTCCTCCTGTTCTATGAATACTGCTCCTTAATTCCCTGTACTGGTGACTCTCAACAAGATAATACAGGTCTCTGCTGTGTTATTAGCAATGCTAAGTATACAATTAATTCCCATCAATCAGTATGCAGCCAATACATTTTCCAAACCTATCTTTACGGAAATAATATTCTTTATGGGAGAGAGAACTAACGCAGTATTTTGCAGATCTTTCACAATAAAAGACATCATGTTCTAACCACTCAATGAGGCTAAATAAAATGCATGACAAGCTATGGACCCGAATGTCTTCTTCTTTGAAAAACTTTATTTTTTGGAAAGCAGGGAGTAGCAATGCATTAAACATTTTGTTGCCACTATCCTTCCAACAAGCAGATCAATAGATTTCCTTCATTACGCTTTTAGCCAAACACAGAGCGCATGCAAAAGCCAGAGGACAGGGAGAGAGAGGGAGAGAGAAAATGATGTTGCTAATAGAAAGTTTGAGATACAAATGAGAATAAAAAATGGTGCTGCTGCATAACACTATCTAAAGGCAATATTATAAATTAGAGACTATGGACCTTCATTGAATAATCTGTTCAATTAACACTGTGAATGATATTTTTATGATACAAGCTGATGTCAGAGTAGTTCTAAAAATTTAAGTGACGCTGACTTAATTTAGTATTTTAATTGAACTACTACTATTTAAAAATAAACTACTATGTTTTGTGACAACTGAATATCTATTCTACACATACTATACTGCACATTTGTTAAGTCATTATAAGTCCTAATTAATAATTTAGCTCTTAGACAAACCATTTAAGTAATCCTGCTAACATCCACAAAAATTTCAGGCAGGAAGCTAACTGGTTTTCTTCAAGGGTGAAGAACTTCATTGCACACTATGAAATTTAAAGAGAATATAAGCTTATATTTTATCATCGTACCATTTTAGAGAATTAAAGCTTTGCTTCTCGTGACACAAGGAAATCTCTTTTTAAAGAAACTCACTTAAATTTCACTGAAGACCTCATTACAGATAAGTGGAATTGTTAAGGAGCTGACTGGGGCTAAGAGGCTGTATAATACTCCTATACTATAATGCCTGCAACTCAACAAACCTCTCTGTACCTAAAAGTAAGTAGAAGTTTCTAAAATCTTTCTGCCCATTACTCTCAAATAGGCATCAGCTGACCACATGTGCAGTTCTACTCATGCTACTGGTGGCAATAAAAAAGAACAGATGAAAAGAAGCTTTTTCTAATTATTGGACTCTGAGATACAAAACAGCCTCTACAAGGATGTTTTCTATTAAAAAAACGGGCAGCAAATTCTACCTCAAATTCTTCACAATGCAGAATACAGAGGTCCTATTTGTCTTCTGCTGGAAGATCTTTTACTTCTTCAATCAAAGACCTTCTATGTGACAGGAAATCCTTGACAGATTGACTTCCTTTTTAACAATTTGAGTTCTACTAGAGCCAGTGAATTCAATTCCAGACCTTTCCTGAACAATTAAAATTGTGACAAAATTTTACAATGAATCTAATACCTCTATTTCCTAAAAGGAGATTTCTGAAATCATTTACATGAAGTTATCTCTTTCATCTTTCATTGTACCTTTGTCAGAAGGCAGGTTCAGCTGAAATCTCAGCACTGATTCCACTTCTCTTGCCATTTTGTTCCAGATATCCTCTGAAGGTCCAAAGCTATTTGATGATGACTCAGATGCAGAAAATTAAGAAGATCTTAACTTGGTGCCTTGAGAATTAGCTTAAGAAAAGTATTTTTTTTGGAATAAGAACCACAGAAATATGTGTGGACACAAAATCAACCTTGAGATCCTATCAGAAGTGTGGTTCTTTTTTCTTGGGTATGAGACATCATGAAAAAGACCATTACTAATTTTCTTCCCATGATCAAAATTACTGACAGGCTTCTGGAGATGATTTAACAATACTTCAGTTTGGGAGATTTTCTATCATATAATTTAGAAGTCAAGATGTTGTTTACTCATCAGCAGCTTTTCCCATTTTGCAAAATAATAGAGGATGATGTTGAGCATTGTTTGACATGCATCCTGACATTAAGCTTCTTCATTTTTGAATGAAGAGTCTCTTAAAAATATGGAAACCAGACTACAAATCCTTTATGGACCCCAGAATACCTCAAATCCCTTCCTGCCTCTCCAAATAGTTACAACTGCCACAGATGTCTTCAGCTTCAATTGATTTATTCCTTTGGATCTGTCAGTGGCTTGAATGTTCTGCTGAAAAACACACAGGGTGGTAGCCTGCCACCAGAGAATAATGTACCCATATTTTTTTATACCTTGTGCTTTTTATATCTTGTACTGTGTGTTTTGCGAGCATGAAATTCTGATCAGCTACTGCAACACAAGATCTGGTTCAGCATGCAGCCAAGGCTATTTGCAGTTTGGATATGAAGATCTTGCCTTTGGACAGAGTATAAAGGATGAATTGCTTGCACAGTCTTGCAGTGCCACCTCGATACTTCAGATAGCAGATTCTTTAGCACAAATGGCAAAGCAGTGGTAGTTTCGGAGAAGGCAAAAAAGTTTTTGGAATCTGATCAAGCAGGAGACCCATACATACTGACCAGTCACCAGCTGCAATACATTGGTTTGCGTTTCTTCTGAAGACAATGATCCCTCCATAAAGTGAAGGACAAATGGCTGAAGTTGCAGGCAAAGCAAGAAAACGCCAATTTCCCTGAAAGTGTGTCCTGGTTTGGGACAAATTTGGAAAGGAACTTCCAAAGGGATGTTTCCTAAAGGTTCAGGGGAAAAAAAATGAATGCTTCTTCTCCCCCTGCTTCACTCTTGGAACCAGTCTTAAAGGTGCAAAACTTGTTTCTGGGCTAAACAGACAAATGGGGATACAATTCAGCACCATAAAGTCACCCCAGGACAAAGTGACTTATTGACTCCATCATCTGTAAGAGTATGTTCATCATTTTTGATGATATGAACTATGAAATGCCTGTTGATCCACTCCTTAATTTTGTACAGATATTCAGAAGTGTGGAGTGAGAATGGCTTTTGTCTTGCATCCAAAAGCACTGAACTTAATTTATTGTTCTGGTATTAGCTTAGAAAAAAGTGGCTTTGTATGCATGTGAGTATAGTATAACTTATTTATTCCATATTGGTGTTTTGATGATAATCATGATAAAAACATAAGGCTTTCATATAATAAAGTGATGAGGCACAATGATCTGCAGAATACATATCAGGTGCTTTTAAGAACACATATTTGATTATTTTTAAAACTACTTGTCTCCCAGTAGAGCCAGACAGCAACTATTGATCTATACAGATCTATGACAGAAAAACTGGTAAGCATCTTTCTTAAGAACTTTTCTATGACATCTTTTGCTTATTCATACACTGAAACTGTGAAAAACTTTTATTACTAAGGATAAGGAAGTGCTAGGAATGATTGCTTGAGAAGCTGAAAATTTTGAGAACAAATTACACACACAATCAGCAAGGTACGGGTCTCTCTGCTTAGGGACAAAGCAATTGAGTAGGTGAGCTCTTTATGTTTGGATTTTTTATATTGCTCATGAATAGATCATAATTCTATCATTCAGATCAGATCTAGAATATGGCCCACAGTGTGAGGCACAGCACAAACTGTTAACTTCTTATGGGATCTTGTCATCTTTGAGGGATTCTTTTAAAACACAGACTCATGACTGATTCGGTACAGCAGGAAACCTTAAGTCCATCTTTTTGGTACTCATCCATTTATCAATTATAATAATATGCTGAAACCTAATCTTTACGCAGCAGGCCATGGAATTAATTTTACAGTATTTTATAAACTTTGTTTTATCCCATGATGTTGTGAATTCTAGTTTATCTTAAGATATTTCTTCTTTCTTCCCCATTCTAATTACAAGTGAAAGTATTTTCATTTTCAATTCTCATAAGATGGTACTATACCTCATTATAGAAGACCGTCATGAAGCTGATACAGAAGTATTTGAAATGGTACATGCATTTTGGCAGGTAGTGACTCGAGCCAGAGCTTTGGGAATTAATAATGAATTTCAGATATCATAAACCCACCTATATCTAGACAGGTAATTAGTGATCATAACCTGATGGCCATTTTTACAGAGTCCTTCCAGTTTCACTGTCCGAAAACAGGTCAGGCTAACAAGTGAAGCATTTTGCGGCCTCAACATCTGTAAATTTGTTATTATTACTTAATGTAAGAGATAACTAAGAACATTTCTATCATATAATTTATGCTCATATGCTATATTGTAGTTGCCTAGCTACTGGACTATACATCATGGTGGTCCCAGACTGCCACAGTGATTTTAAAACCACGCTGAACATGGTTGCAGATTGATCATGCAAAATCTGCCCCCCCAGCTGATTTTTCCCCACTTGTGCACAGTGCAATGCAAAAAAAAAAAAAAGAAAAAAGTAAATAAAATCAAAAAAGTATGATGGGTGAGCAGGTCGACTGTGTGAGAGAACACGTGCAAAGTATACCTCAGAAACACTATAGGTGGATGAGCACGAAGGGAGTCGAGCCTGGTTGTGCAGTGGGGAAAAGAAAACATTGTTAAAAAAGAAATGGTGGCACAGTAAGGGTCTCAGAAGGTTTTCTGTATAGGTGGTTCCAGCACTGAGATAGTGGCAGGGGGTTCATAAAGTTTCCATGACCAGCTATTTCAGAAACTTCAAATTTATGCCTTTTAAGGTGGAAGCTTCTTAAAAGAAAAAAAAAAAAGTACTTAATTTAAAAATAATTAAAACTAATGATGAATCTGAAGACAAATATAAGTTCTTGGTCCTCTAGGTATCTGACAACACTATTATTAGGACAATAAGGTGTCATAGGATGAAACGTTTATTGATCTGTTTCATTTACAAGTATTAGTTTTATTCTATAAAATATTTATATTCTACAAAAGATACAATCTTATGGGTGAAAACCCATAAGAGGCTCCAAATATCTTTATTTGTTGATGTACTCAGAAGCAGCATTTTGACAAGCGAGCTTTTTCTTCAATCTCACTGCCCCAAAAACCAGAATAACTTGCAAAGTTCAATGACTAATGGCCAGATATAGGTCAGTAGAAATCTGCAGATTATTCCCCTAAGCAATGTCATGTGTCTGATTCTTGAGGGACTGTCCACTGTCAAGAGCTTTCAATGCAAGTTAACACAAGTTAATTGGTAACCTACAGTTTTACTGATTGTTTAAGACACATTTTGTTTATACATGATAGCCATTATACTAAACTATTAATCACTCAGACATAATTCAAGTATTAAAAAAGGACTTGTCAGTAATTTATAGAAAAATCCTTTCTTTGGGTGAAAATATTTCATGTTTCACTGTCTGAAGGAGTAAAAGCAGTCTAATAAATGAAATGTAAAAAATATAGTTCTTATAAATGTACTAAAAGTCATGTCTTGATTTTTTTCTAGGGGTGAAAAATGAATTATCAGAAGCCTTAGTAAAACTTCTTTAGACTTAACAAACTGTACAGCAGTCTGGATACATTTGTATGGTAAAGATGAATCCAGTAAGATTCCCACACAGGTTATTAGTGACCATTTGTTCACTTAGGTATATGATGGACTGAGCAAAGAACATAATATTCATAAGAAGTCTTTCAAGAATATTTTTCAGTTTTAAATGTGTATTTCATATTTTTTCATTGAAATACAAAATATCACTTCCAGGAAATTTCTAGTCACATTGGTCTGTGCTAATTTATGTCTCCATTAAATATACAACTTTTTTTTTTCTTCCTTGAAAAGTTTTAGTACTCCAAAAAATTTTTTGCTCCTTTCTGGTATTCTGTATTTCATTTGCTCTTCTAGATAACATTACTAAGGAAATTTGAATCAATTCACATCATCTTAAATATTCAAACACACTCAGCATTTTCTTCAATTGATGAAATGTTTTCTTAAACTGAGATGAGTTGTAGAAGGATTAAGACAAAAATAGAACATTCCTTCAAACAAATAGCAAGACTGAAAAACACAGTTTTAAGAAGTCAACTATTATTCTTAAACAGTCTATTTTATAATTATAGAAAAAAAGAAAAAGAAAGATCCTCTTCTGACAAAGCAAAACTGCTTCTAGAAATACAGCTTTGAAATCTTTCTAAGAAAGGTAAGGTGGGCTTTTGCTCACAACAGGTACAGCTATTCACCTAAGTCTTTTGGATGAGATTCTAATCAAGATTTTCATAAATAATGTCCATTGTTCCCATGGTTTGTCTTTCAACAGCATGGAAAAAACCATTAGCCTCGGTTTTGCAGGATCCAAAGAACGCATGATAAGCAAGAATCATCAGAGCACCAGTTTTTTACATATCAGCAAGTAGATACACAGAAACAATAATGATCAGAAGGTTTGGAACTATACTCCATAAAAAATCTGAAGAGCTTAGTTCACATTGTCTCCTCCTCACACCAACTTACAAGGGGCAAGCTACACATTTGTGCACTTTAATCTTCTCTTAAGCAACTGCTCTAACTAGAATGCTATCACTCTCCTTGTCAAAGAATCCTATAATCTAATTATCCATAATTTCATTAATAATGGAACCATTTAACTTCAGTCAGAATTAGAATAAAAAACTTTAAGTAATACTGTATTTTCTTTTTCATAGTTTCAGTTCCATAGAAGCAAATTACAATATTCCCCTCAATAAGATACCAGTTGTTACATTTTATTATATTATATATATTATTATATCTTATATGTTATTATATAATATATAATATAATATGTATTATTCTGTTTTTTATCTTTTTCTTTCTATGCTCAAAAACACACACATACAGAATTTCCCTTAATTTCCTAATCTTACTTCAAATTCTTGTTTCCTTATTCATACATGTCTAGACCCTCAATGTACCTGTTTCATTTTCTCAGAATGAAGAAATCAAAGGTACACTGAAGTGCTGTAGTTACAAACTGACCTAATGTTCTTGAGGAAAGGATTATGCTCACAGCACACAGGGACTGCTGTTTACCTTCAATAGGATCACACAATGTGTTTGTTTAATCTTCTGCACACTTGGAATTTCCTGATCATTTCTATGTCATTGCTTTTCATGCTAACTGGTCTCAATTTTTAAGCATCTGCCTGATTTTGGGATTTTGTAAGTGTAGTGTTTCTGTGTTATTAAAATTAAATATCAATATATTTCCAAGCTCCTTTGATGTTTCTGCAACCTATCACCTACTCTACCTACAATTTGTTGTCATATATGAACTTCAGTGACTGTTTTGTCCAATTGAGAGAAGGGGCAGCTCTCCTTATTTTGTATGCTACCTGACAACTCCTATGTATTATGTTGGGTAAAGCAAATGTGCTGGCATTTGGGCTCTTTTCCCTTGCAAATATTCAATTTAAGGGGTCAAACTGTCAGTCACAGAAATTCACCACTGTGAGAACACTTTTAAAAAAGAGCTATTTACACCAAATGAGAACCTGGTTCAAATGCTGCAAGAGTAATTTGCTTTCAGTCTGAAGGCGTTACTGGCTTGACGTAGATCTTTACTAAGTGAGTATTAGAATCAAGAGTAAGAGTCATGTAAATTTAATCCTTCATCATGGCCAAAGAAAGCAGGTACTTAAAGGAAGACAGAAAATGCATGCAGGAGACCATAGACTCTGAGGCACACAGGTCTGTATGAAAACTGAGAATCTTGGTTCCATTTCACATAATCTATTGAAAGTATTTGGCCACTGTTATGAATTCAGGGAACATTTTTCCTGAAAAAAAACCAGAATCTTTGACTTCAACCATACTGGTTAAAAGCCACACAAAAATAGTTTGGCATATTACTCGGGAACTCTGTACTTGGATATTTTTTTTTTTCTCATGGGATTTCCATAATACTTTTCTGCAGAAATTAAACTTGTATTTAAAATTCTCAGGCTGTACAGTTACAAAAAAAACTAAAACCGATCAAACAAACAAACAAACAAACAAAAAAAAATAAAAAAAAAAACCCCAAAAACCAAAAGAGCTAAAAAAAAATTCTTCAAAGCAAAGATTGAAGCAGTATTGTTCTGTTGAATTTCAGAGTAATTCCACACTTGTAGAAGGGTATCAATTTTGGGAGGTATTATGGGTTATAAAATAGAGCCAAGTCAACTCTTTCTCTGCTGATCATGTCAGCAGCAATTGCACTTACGTGCTACTGCTACATAAATTTCAGCATGGGGGAATGCTACCATGTCCAAGTGACAGAACACTAAGTTTTCTAAACAGTTCAGTGTCAAACTGGTCACTGCAAGGGATCAAAATATTAAGTAATGAAAAGAACTGCAAGATGAATGAATTTCTCATGAAGAAATGCAAAACCAAACCTTAGGTCAGCATAACTTCCTTGTAAATGGCTATATTACCGCTGATATTAAAAGAAAACTATTCAACCCCCAGAATTCCTTAATTAATTAAATTTTCATTCATTTCATTCATCAATTTTATTTCAGATATCTGGAAAGACTTCTAAACTTTTGGTGGCATCTGTGATATTCTGCAGAATTCCAGCATTTCCTACATATTTCCAATGGCCTTTGAACTTAATCTGGAAAGAATGTCTTTGCAATTCATTCTGGAATAAAGGTTCCACCTTAATGGTATTATGCAATAGCATTTCAATTTCAATTATGGGGCTGGCCATCTGATACAACATGCTCCCCCTCCCATACCATTCAATACTTTTGCCACATTGTAGGAGTATCAAAAACCTACATCTAAAACCCTTTCCAAAAGCAGTATGGAAAAAATGGAAATTATTTTCAAAATGAACTATTAACAGATCCCTCATTTTTTCTTTTTCTCCAATTGTTCACTATTTCTTCTCTTTGATCAGTCATTTGTATATTGTCTTTTAAAATGCTCTTATCTAGAACATCCATTATTACTGCATGAATCAGAGCAGCAGTGACAAAGCAGCAAATTTTAGCAATGTGTTCTGCTTGGTTTAGGAAACTTAAAGGCATATGAAGAATATATGGAATATTTCTTTATTTACTTGCTTACATTTCTTACTGAGTTCCATCATGGAGGGTGTGGTCATGAAATAACAGATAAAGTGGCACAGAAGAACAGGACAATTTCATGACAGCTCCCGTTGTCACGCTGCCATGGCTAATGTAGTCACAGCTTTTAGTTTGAAATCTTTCCCCATGTGACATTCCGTGAAATAATGCATGATTAGAACATATTTTTTGTAGTACCATGTTTCATGGCCTATTTTGGGTTTTTCTTCTGGCTTTACATTTATTTTTTAAGTATTAAATCAGGAATTTAAGAATAAATAGCTTAAAATAACTTGCTTTGTCTTGATTGTGAGTTACCACCAAATCTAAAAAATGACACAGTTTATTTCCCCCAAAACTTGATTCCTAAAAGATTTGCCAGGGAAAAGATACTGTCCTTTAATCAAATTTGTTTTACAGAATACTGCAAAATATTAGCAGCTCGATTTCCTTGTATTTGACCTGCAAAATATTATAAACTCAAGAATTTCTACTTGACAATAAGCAGTAATCAACTGTATGTCAGATACAAAGCTGTATACGCAAAAGTGCCCAAAAGGGACAAAAATTATCAAATAATTTTCGTTACAAAAATTATCTTGCACTGTACAACCTTAGTGAATTGTACATTAGAATGACAGTTCTGAGAATGACAACAATCATATGTATGGAAGACAAAGAGGATATGAATCTAAAGAAATTATTGAGAGACCCTTCACTGGATGGATGTGCAAAGGGATAAAGTGTTACTAATTTTCACATTTACTCTGCTACAAACTTTTCCTAATTTTCATTATATGCAAAATAATGTGGCTTAAAAACACTTCTATATAGAATTTCTGAAGAGCTGTTCTTAGTTTATGAGGTGTACTACTAAACAAGAGGTACTGCTGTCTGTTTTGTTGTGTTGGATTTGACTTGCTTTATTAAATAATTCTGTAAAAATTGGGTGACCTTATAGGGTGTCATGACTGATATATTGGATCCTAATTCTTTTTCCACAACTTTCTTTCATTAAAGAACAAATGTGACAGAGAAGAAATGTGCTGCCATATTTTTTGCATTAGTCTGCTAAAAAAACAAGCAACAAAATTGGCATAGCTGTCATTCAACCAAATATTGACCTATTTTGTGAGATAAAACAGGGACTTGAAAAGGTTGACGGCAAAGACAGAGGTACATGAGAACCTATATGCTTTTGATTTACCTTATATCAGCCATAGTTTTTGGTTTAGGTATGGCTACCAATCACTGGCAGAAGGTATTTTTATTTTTGAAATTAAGGGTATCTGTTTTATGCACTGCTAAGTTTAATATTCAGGAAACTTTCAGATATGCAACTTCAGTTTTGGAAAGGGATTTTTTTTTCGTTTCTGTAAAGTCAAGCAGTTTGATTAGCATTCATTAAAATGCAGTAGGATGTTCTTTACAACAAACTCTGTCAATCAGGTCAGGTTTCTCACATACATTAAAATGAAACCCCAGCTAGAAAAGAAAGAAAACGCAAAGGAAGAAATAGAGAAAGAAAGAAAAAAGATGGGGATGAGAGGACAAACCAATCAGATTTGGTGTTACCAGCCAGCAGAAGTTTTTTTAAAAAATCAGACCACCGAGTGAAATCATACATTTACTTGGAGAGAGCATCCTTTGACATTGCCTTCTGGGTGATGTCTGAGCTCCTCCAGCTTTCGATGGAGCTACATGTAAACATCAGAAAATGAATTGAAAAAGCAACCTGTTCTCTTGTCACAGATTTTTCTCCTTTATTTTTCTTTTGCTCTTTGTTTTTGTGTTTTGTTTTATTTTGTTTTTAATAAACCATAGCATAATGCATTTCTTACTGCCTCTGCCAAAACACTTCAAGACATCAAAGTGCTTTGAACAACAGAGGCATACAAGTCTCAGTAAACATGGAATCTGGAAGCAAGATATCTTTGCTTAACATGGCTCTTTTTCACTACAGAAAAAAAAAAAATCAAGGGAACTATAATTCTAAAGCTACTGAATCTTTGCTACATTGTTTATTTAGTTATTAGCTTATTTATTAGTAAGGCTGTGTTCTAGAATTTATTTTCATAAAAAGAATTTTTAGAGGTAAATTTTCACGATTGGGAACCTCAATTAGGATTTCCCATTTTATATAAAGAAGATTTTCTGTCTACATATATATTTTAGGTCATGGAATTAAATCAGATGAAGAAATATTAATCCAAGATGAGCTATCAATGGGTCTTCAAAATAACAGGTGAAACCCACCATCTAAATAAGCTACAACTTCATATGTGCATGCATTATGCATCTAGATTTGCATGTGATGACCCATGCCTTAAAATGCATGGGTCATTGCAATCATGAACAGTTTCAAAAACAGCACAGAAACGGTGGCTGTCTTGTATTTTTTATCCATGTGAATTCAGTGGTCCTCAATGCCTCCCACAGAAACAGAGCCTCCACTCATCTACACTGCTCTTCTCATCTACACTCTAATTAAAACATCTTCCCAAAATACAAGATGAAAAGATAAAGCCTCACAGACAGTGAGGAATGCTACAGATGCCTCTAGCTACAACTTGTATAAACAAGTAGCAACTGGCTTCTTTTTCTATGCTAAGATCAATTTAAATGGAGGCATTACCAGAAAGAGGTGTATAATTAATCCTTTCCCTCCCTTTCTTTGTGCTCAGTGAAATTACATTTTCACAAAGAGCAGCTGTAGAACAGTGCTAGAGAACAGAGAGGGTGGCTTGTCCTGGAACAAATGCAATACACTTACATACAAAACCAAAACAAAAGATCATAAACCAATAAGACAGGAAAAGCAAGGAGAATGCAGAAGAAAAAAAGAAATAATTAGAGGTTGAGAAGGTGCTAAAAGAAAATAAAGCAGGAAAAGAAGTGAAAAATTGGACAGCTGAAATAGAGGCAACTCTTGAGATCAAAATGGTTTGGACTGCATATGATCAGCATCTTGGTTCAAAAACATTTATCAGAGTGTAACACTGTGTGTATGGTAGGTACCGGTTTAGATATCTGCCTGTTCTGCTAAGCAATCTAAACGTTTGTCTACGTTTATACAAACATGAAAAGGCAGAAGATACTATCAGCAAAACAGTGGCTCCATTCTTATTAGTCTCCTGAATATCTTTCATTTGATCTTTATCTACTTTGATTTTTTTTTTCTAATTTAAAGGCTACAGACACACACACATATATATATATATATATATATATATATGAAATATTAAACTCCCTTGTAATGGTCTTTTGCAGAATTAAATGCATAAAGTGAGAACACCATAAGAGTTTAATTAAGTTTCAAGATGGGAAGCAGTAGTTGGAAGATGAGTAAATCACTTCTCCATGTAACAGGCAGATCAGAGAAGTGGTTTAATCATGACCACCAAATTACAGGCACTTTAAAAAGGTTATTACTATCTCTTACTTCTAGTGACATCCAGAGCTACCTAATTGGCAGCCTGCCTTCAATAGGTTGTTCTATGTGTAGCACAGAAACAAACAAAATGTGACCCAACAGCAATAGGAATACTGAAATAAAAATGATGTGATGGTGAGAAATGGAAAAGCCCCTTCCCTCCCTCCCCACACCTCCCCCTTCAAAAGGAAAAGTGTAGGCTATAGAAGAAAACTTGCAAAATAAATGTCAGAAACATATTTACTTTGAGGGATCCAACTCTACTAGCAACTCCTTTGCTTTCATCCGGCCGTCTAATTTGCTACAATGGGGGAAGATGGGTAAAAAAGACAGAAGAATAAAGAAAAAGTGAACTTAAAAAAATTTCCACACAATCAGTTAGCAGTACATGCAAGACATCAATTTGACTCTCTGAGACACCTCTAGAGGACAAAGACACAGACTCTAATTTCTGGAGTAAATGACACTTTATCATGGCATTTTAAACTTGCTTTGTTGATCACTTTCTCAGTACATTACCAATCTGGCACATATGTTACATGCTGAATTCACTAACATTTTTGAAAGAATACATGTTACTTATCTGATTTGGATATTAAGAATAATGAAATTCTAAAACTCTAACTGAAGAAAAAACCCTCCTATACCTTCTACAAATCATATGAGCAGAGTATGCTATAACTGGGAGCCTGCAAGTATCAAGACTGATACCTGACAGAATGCAATACAGCTTCCTACTGACCCAGGCCTAGAGATTTTAGCCACTGCTATCAAGATTCCCAGTTAAAAATTATGCTGCCCAACCAGAAAATTTTAATGCCAGACCAACATAAGATTTTTATTTAAAATACTTAAATACACTGTGTATATGACCTCTAACATCTCCTTTCTGATTACTTTTCCTTTATTATACATGATTTTTCCTAGATGATGCAGAGACTGGAAGAAACAAATGAGGTAGCTGCTCAAAAGGCTTCATATTTTTAGAAGCATGTAAAATAAAACATTCATTTATAGCAAAAGCTCTTTTCAGAATTTCTTAATCTGATAAATATACCCCTTTTACCAAAATAGTGAACGTGTCATTTGAAGTAGAGAGGAAGAAGACAATAAAAACTACATCCTACTAGTCTGAGCCAAGACTGAACTGAAAGTTTTTAATAGCTTAAGTAAAACAAAATCCCACACAACTGAGGTGAACCCTTTCAAATCACACTAACTGTCTTTAAGAAATCTCAGCAAGGAAGCCAAAGATTGAATGAGCCATGGAAATCCAGCTATGCTTTAAGCTCTCTGGAGCACAGCAGCAAGGCACAAGTTAAATTGTCCTGTTTGTTTTTACCTGACCCATGTGAAACAGAAAAATTCCTCTTCAAAAAAAGAGTCAACTGAGTGTTTTGTTTTTTTACTTGTATTTGACTCTCAAGAAAACAATGCAACTAAACAATATCTTAACAATTTAAGTAGTTAATTCTGAAAGGATGTCCATTAGCAAAATACATTGGAAACTTTTATGTTCAATGTTGCTTCCCTGGTCTTATGGCATTAAAATAGCATTCAATTTGAACCCTCGAGTGAAACACACTCCTGTTACCATGGGACTCCAAGAAAATCTCCAATCAATTCTAGTATACAGACCAAGAAGAAACCATCATTCTCAAATAAACTATGTCTCCTTTAGAAGTCACATTCAATTAAAATATATGCAGTAGTAACTGAGTTAATATGTCTTAGCTATGTGTTTCCTGATTGAGAAAAAAAAGCATACCTCAATTTGGAAAAAAATCCTTATCTGAACAAAAAACATCATGAGTTAGAGCAAAAATGCTTTCCCCAACATCCTGGTTAGGTACTACCATTCCAGATAATAAGACATTGTAGTAGAACTGCAATTCATTTTATCAATTTGAAACTTCTAAAATGAATAATAAATTTAGGTTTGTTTGGAAATGAGAAATAGGAAAAAAATGAATGCTTATAATCTCACATAATGACATGGAACTAGGGCATTAAGAAAAGTGCTACATAACACAGAAACTTGAGGAAAAGTTGTGACAGCAATATACATTGCCCCTCAGGGAAAAAGCTTTTCTTGCATTACTCACCAATTCTGGCTGCTCAAGTTGTTCTGAAGATTTAGGATTAAATTAGAAATGAGACTGGAGATGTTACAGGTGCATATAACTAATAATATTTAGTCTTTCTTTCTTTCTTCAAAAGATACATAGAAATACAAACACGATGTGTACATTGTGAGCAATTAAGTTCTAAATGCTTACATATATAAATTACAAGGAGATAGCCTAAGTTTTTTAAGTCTTGCTTTACATCCATGGTATAGTTAATATACATGACATCATGTTTTCTACAGGAACATTGCAGAGTGCAACTTGAACGCTTCTCAATGGATGAATCAGAATTACATGAGTATTACACAAACTATACTACACATGTTCTTGGAATTAAATAGAGTATCACTAAGAAGGAAAGGGACAGCAGGAATAAAAACCTGTATCTTTTTCATGAAAAATACCACAGAAAGGAATTCAGGTATATCTTTATCTTTCTCTGGTCAACTGTAGGATGATCTAGAAGATGTAACTCAGAAAATGGCATGGATTATACACTCCTTGTTTTTCAGCTAACACAAGAACCCCATCACAGATGAACATTGGTAAATAGAAAAGATTATGATGAAAAATGTGTGTAAATGATCTAAATCAAAAGTATCTATACAACAACACAAGCTAAATAAGTGGATTTAGAGATGAGGTAGGAGCTACACCAAGTAGTTATGGGCAAAATGTTACCTGAAAAACCTGAGGGTTTTGGAACAATCTGAAGATGATTAATGAAGATATTTAATGTAATGAAGGAAGAAGGGTGCTGTGTAGGGAACATTCCAGGAAACTAGGAGGGTATAATGCATTGACAGTTTATAAATGCATTATATTTACATCACTTTCTTATTCAGAATGGAATAACAACAGGAGTTAATAGCTAAACATTAACTACAGCTATCCCTATCTTGATATCTCAAGAACAAGGTGGAGTTACATTTGGAGTAGAATGAAATAGGAAGCCAGCTGAAGAAAACTTAGGAAGCAAGGAAACCAGAACCAAACAGTGAGCAGAGAGGAATGCTCAAATATGGTTAATGGATTTGTTAGAAGATGAGAGAACAGAAAATGTTTTCTAAGCAGAAGTCTTGAATATGGTTTCAGTGTTATTCCACAACTTTCTACTTAATAGAGCTCATGAGAAATGAACCTGCTATCTTTATTCTTGATTTTACTCCAGAAAAAAAGAATTTAGAAGACCTAAACTGACCTAATACGTAACTAATGTACATAATCTGTCAGTTATACTTGTTATAAAGGAAGAACAGCTCTGAGCAATTACCTAATCTGAGACTCTGCCTTTGCTGGATTTATTTAACACTATCCATCTTAGACTCCTTCCCCTTTCTGATAATATACTCTATCTGTGCTACTCTAAAGTTTCCCTGCTTACACACCAACAAAGAAATTGGAATTTTGCAGGATCCAAGTCTTTCAGAAAAATGTTTTCCCATCCACATTCACCAAAAAAGCCAAACTTCTGTCAGACTTTTTCCAAAATCCTGGGCAACACATGAACAGTTCATTATGACAACATCTTCTTGATGTGATTAACTTACTTAATTCTGAATTGAATACATGCAAAACTTGCAATAGAAAGTTTTTAAAGCATTAGCTTAAAAATGTGTCAAGTACCCTTTTGATGACCTGGGCACGCTATGTTGGAATTATGATAATCAAAAGTAAGAGATTATATTACACAGCATCCAAATCAAGTTCAGATTATTTGCTGTACACATAAGAAAAACATAACTGTTCTTCCACTTGATTACTACTGCAGAGATCAAAAATGAATGGTGAATAAAGAAAACTGTTAATATTACTTGTGGAAGGAACATCATTGAGTCTGCAATGAGATGTTTTGGCAGGTATGTTATACCACATATCCCTGACAACAGTGCTGACAAGCATTTTCTGTTTCCTTCCACAAAAATAGTCCCTATCAGTTTCTAGTCATGGCTTCTTACTGCATTTAGCTGTAAGCTCCCTTGTGCCCAACCTAGCTGCCTTAGGGAATGTGCAGTGCCCCGGAGTGAATATCCTCTACTGAATCCCAAATCATGTAACTTGCTTGCATCATAATTGTCAATGTGACTCTACATGCTGTTAATAAATATTTATGAAGGTGTTCCTTTCTAAAGTAGTTTTTGGATGTGAAACAGTGACACCCACGAGTTTGTACATCCTATGAGAAAATAAGACCTCACTTGTTTTTTCAGTTTTACCTGCCATTACTTCCTTCCAGTTACTGTTCTATCTCAAAGTGCAGGGCATCATGCTGAGAAAGGAATGATCAGTTTTGGAAATCTAGAGCAAAACTGCACATGTGATGCTCCTAATTTGGTTCACTTCCCTCAGCAAAATTCCACAATATACCCCAAAATGGCTTTTATTTTTTTTTCCTCCCAATGACTATTCAACTAACCAAGGCAAAATATAGAAGAAAAACAATGGGATAAGCTCCAGTCCAGTTTAAAGAGGTGTTTTGTGATTCAGTGAAAAGGTAGGTGGATGTATAAAAAAAACGTGAAAATGATCCTAAAGATAAATGCACTAAGAAGATAAAACCATTAAAAACATACCAGAAGAGAAACTAAATATGAATCAGTATATATTCAAACAGCCCCCACATGAAGGGGCTTCAAAAGAATACAACATATAAAGAACAGGGATATTTAGAAGCCATCAGGAATTTGTTATCAAAAATTTGGAGATTTCTCCAGTTGATAAAGTGCATTCAACAAGAGAAGGAGGTCCAGTTGATGAAGAGAAACTACAAAAGCTATACTATGCAAATTATTATACCATTGTGTTCCAAATAAATGTTCTTGAAGTCTTTCACAGAAGTTCTCACAGAGTTCATATTGAAAGAGAAACATATCTCAAAAGTATAACCCAACTGGCAGTGATTTCATATCCGTCGGCCAGGAACAAAAAATCTTATGTATCGGCCAGATCCCATAAGGGACCTGAATCCAAAGGAGATTTAAATTTATGAAGATGAAAAATGCATTTTCTGACCCTAAAAAATGTCAGTCAAGTTCAAAGTATACAACAAAATGAAAAGAAATGAAGGGTAATGACACCCAATTAAAAAAACAAAAACAAAAACAAACAACAAAAGAAAGAAACTGTAAATATTCGACAGCTGGCAAGAAGTAATTTTAATTACGGAAGTAAC